CACCTTATTTCTACTGAAAGTCTGTTCTGATTATAATAAACTTTATTATTCATTTATATAATAGTCTCTCATAACTCCATATATGGGTGGCTGAAACTTTGTTTGCAATGTATACTCAATTTAATTTGATTGGGCGTGACTATGAAAAACAATCTGTCTGCCCACCAAAAGAAAGTGTCTGGTTCTAGTTGTGAAAAAAGGAATCGGCCAATATGTAGCTACACACCCCGAGCTCAGTCATCGGAAATAAGCAGACTTTTCTATGTCCATTTAGTACAGAAACTTACGTGAATGTTGAATTGTATATTTTAAATATTAATGTAATTGTTGAATGAAAGAAGATCTCTCTACGCTACTCTCTTGTAGTATTTCTATCAAATGTACATATGTATATGTTAAGAATTGTGTTGACCGACTAGAACGGCTTCCCTGATTTTATGTCCAAAATTGTCCTGGGCTCACTTGCACAAAGCGATCTTAGCGCTAAGACTACCTTACATCTATGTTGGAGTATGCGAGTTACGATCATTGGGTCCTGGACAGATGTTGGTGTTATAGAGTGAGTGAATTTAAGTATGCAGCCAGCCAGTGCAGCCCTTCACCTTTAGAGGTAATGATCTCGCTGGTGTACAGACAATATATGTTTTGGCCAGAAACTATGTACCTGCTGTCCACAGATCATGTACTGTAATTCCATGATACATCAGGGATAACCATAATTGATTAATATGTTGCTATATTTAATCACCCGATAGCTAATCGAAGCGAGGCGGTGTGAACAGCTGATTGTTCATTCCAGGTCTCTGTTGGCGTTTTGCAGTCGGTACTTAAGCTGTTGCCCTGGATGCTTGAACCCTTCTAAAGATGAAGTATACATACATTGTATACTTACTAACATCTAGATCATATTATAGCCGATTTCAGTAGATCGGGGGACACTTGAACATTTGGAAGAGTAGAAACTTGAATTTTTGTCAGCCACAAATAATCCTTTATTATGTTTAAATACATATTGCAGAGTATTTACTAAGTGTAATGTGTGGTTTTATAAATAGATAATACATTCAGACTACTTTTCACTCCCTGCATTAACAGTATTGTAGGCATCAAATGATTACAATTTACTTACTTGTAGTGTCTGCATGCGCTTTGCCTTGAATATGATAATGATTATGATGGACAAATCGTGATTATAATTTCATTACGCATTGCCTTTCATGATTCCTTATTGAAAACCGATGTTTGAAATTCCCACACGAACAATTAATAACGTACTTTTACTCTGACCAATCGATTTCTGTATACCTCACTGTTATAATGATGTTAGATATCTTTGTAATATATCATGGTACATGTGTACTAGTGCGCTACACATGCATGACGTTTTAGCAGTTTTTATATACATGTATAAGTAAAATAGCTTTGGTTTGGCTGTTTAACGCCACATTCAGCAACATCCCCACTATATGGCGGCGGTCCGAAAATAATCGAGTCTAGACCAGACAATTCATAGACCTGCAGCATGAGCATTGATCTACGCAATTGGCATACACACGATCCCGTTAGCCGCGCGCCCGTTACAAAAAGCATTGCTTGCTGAAGACCAATTCTAACCCGGATCTTCACGGGTTATGCGTAAAATAACATATTAAAGAAATACATTTAGACATATCTACATGGAATTATTGTGTGATTATATTTGCATTTACTTTATCATATTTGATTTTAATTTCTTGGGCAGGTTTTCGACATTATACTACTATCTGATAAATAGACCTCATACTGCAGTTGTCTTAAAGTACTGCTAAATGAATAAGAAACGGATCAGTACATTAAGATATGCGATTACTCACAATTATGGACATGTTTTATCAGGGACAGAATGAAATAGGTACACTTTTTGTTCATCACTGTTTAAATTGTTTGGAAATCGCACAATTTCAAATATTTTGAACACGTTTTCCTCATATATGAGATAAGATAGCTCGTACCTATAGGTTTGAATAATTAGAGAAACACAAGCCGAATAACTTTTCCCTTTCATGGCCACATGCAGGCATCAATACTTAGTCAAACCATGTGAAATACATGTATATTGGAAATTTTAAGGAGATTTGCTAATTTGGCACTCGGTTTGCTTGCAGAGTTTGACAATAAATTCACAACTTGTTTACTTGGTCAAGTTAAAAAGAAGTTGTTATCCATAAAACGTGTAATGCATTCATACTGATACTAAATTGTGTTTGTTGCCTAAAGCCCAATATTCCCGTTATATGGTGGCGGTCTGTCAATAATCGAGCCTGGACCAGACACTCCAGTGATCAACATCATGAGCATCGATCTACGCAATTAATGATGATAAGCACATTAGCGAAGAATATGAAATCCTTGACAGACAAGGGACAGATTAAGTCTAAGCTTATTTGTATCTTTATCACAGGAGAGTACTTGTTGTAGAACTTATCAGTAAAATTCTTCGCTTTGCGTTTTTATCAGCGTTTTCTGAAAGCTTATTTTTCAGGCACATTAGCTTGTTTCCACCTACCCTATCATTGCAATGAGTTTATTGTAGTATCCACAAAGTGATTTGTCTATTATTCTGCTCTGCTCACCCATTCGTGACATGCGTAAGACGTCGTATGCCTTTCATGCTCTAGGTATCAGAGCCATGATGCACATGTACAATAATATAGCTATTACGCCGTCATTATTTTTTTCTGTGTTTCTCATCTCCCGACCGATTCAAATTTTTCCTTCCGACGGAAGAATTTTATTATTATTATTATTTTATAAAATGTCGCCGACAGCAATAATTTCAGCCCGACCAAACGAAAAATGTGCCTGAAAAGTTAACTTTAAAAATATAGTATTTTGAAAAGTCTTTCGCATCTCAATGGGCGATCTTTTTGAATTTATTTTCCCTTCACTAATGCTCGGTGCGGACTAATGAGTCAAAGCTGACTCTATTGCACCTTTCATCATGGAAAGAACAGTTGTTGAGAACGCACTACCTTTAAACTGGCACATATTGTGTTGTTAGGTTAGAACAGCACCATGTGTTAAATAACCGGGACACGAATTGATGCGACGGGACATTACAGGAAAAACGCCAAGAACATGAAATAAATGGTATATTTCCTCGGCTTTTCCTACTTAAAAATTAAGCATAGTCAGACAGGAGTTACATCACTCCGATGAAATGATGTACATGTATACTTTTTTTTCATTAAAAAATCAGCGTTTGTGCTATTTACGACAGTAGATTTTCGTTATTTCTCTGACTTACTTGTGAACATTCAATCGGGTGACTGTGCAAGTGTATGTGTAGATACTGGCCACAACACCGGAATGGACAAATCGGTTTCCAGGATTAAATTATAACATATTCAGAATATTCATGTTTGATCCAAATGCTTGGTGACAGGTATTAATCAAATCCATCAATTGTATTGCAGTTCAAATATGAGTTCTGACAGTCACTTGATTGAATGTTCGGCTAAATATACACATATACAAATAGTTATTACAATGGTGAATGTTGCATAGGTACACTATAAACACGCTTAATTTAATATAAGTGGCGTGATAAAATACAAATATATTATCCATTAACTTGCCGCTGTGGTAGCTTCAGGCTCAAACATAAATATTTACACAGATTATTTAATAACTCATTAAGTAGCAGATAATAATTGATTAAATTTATAGGGAGACGGATTGTTGTTGTACATTTGTGGTAAATAGCAGTTTCTTAGATTGCTATAGCATTCACATATAAGTATGAAGTGAAATTCATCTTCTATTCCTTTATTACATGTGAGGCAAATACGTTGATTAAAATCAACTCCCAACCACCGTCACTCATTAACCTTTAATTTTAAAATATCCGCTCTGATCCTAGTAAGAATATTTCTGTCTTTTTTTATTTGTTGGAAATAGTTAAATAGTTTTTTGGCTCTGAAGGGCGTTTCAATTGTCTGTACAGCATATACCTTGAATTTTGTTCAATTGTAATATTCAGTGACTGTATATACATGTCAACTGCAACTTGTCTAAACATTTGAAGAAACTGGGATTCTTTACCAACACCTTGAAATAACCAAACATGACCAAATCCACATGAAAGCAAGAAATTACGCACAGATGAAACATAGTTATCATAACCAAAATTATCGTAATACATGAGCATATCATAAGCTTTTTTTGAATTCTTTGTTGATGCATATTTACAAGTTTAAGGCAGTATTTTAGGAAACGCCGTTGTGCATTTATATTCATTGGGTAACGTCCACATTCACCATAAACAATTACATTTGGTGTTTGGGGACCAACATTTAAGAACTTCTTACATGCAGTTAAATGTACATTTTCAATCTTATAAAATTTATTAATACCCCATACTTCGGCACCATACAAAAGGATTGGTTGAATTTAAGCATCAAATATTTTGAAAAATACAGAATAGTCAACATTATCCAATTTATATTAGTGGCGTAGTACTTCTAGAAGTGCCCTTTTACCCCGAGATAATAAATCTAATATACATTTATTGAATTTACAAGAAGATGAAAAAGGAATACCTACATATCTATATGAATCAACTGTTAAGAGACGTTCACCTTTATAAAACCATTTCTCATTTCTCGCTCTAGGGACCACCTGTTGTAAAAACAACAATCTGAGTTTTCTCTAGATTAACTACAATCCCAACGTATCTGCATATAAGTTCCAGAATTGCTAATTGTCTTTGTAAACCCGATATAACATCAGAAACTAAAACCACATCCTCAGCACAAAATAATAATAAAATTTCTACCATATCTGGAAATATTTGCACACCAAATTTTCCGTGTTGTGTTATTTCTATAACAATTCATTTATAAAAAACGAGAAGAGGAGCGGACTTAGAATGCATCCTTGCCTTAATCCTGTTGGACATTCTGAAATAATTAGCAATATTCCAGCAAATTACAATATCATTATCCTTTTTCAAAACAGGCTTTAACAGAGCTATAAATACTTTTCACTCCTCTAAGCATCTTTCCACTTATACCAGTTGCATAAAGACATTCCCATAGTTTTTTATGGTCGATCTCATCAAAGGCCTTTCGGAAGTCAACAAAGGAGGCATATAACTTCTTTTTTTTCTTTAGTAAAGTTTTTTGGATGGTAGCATATAGCGAGAAAATGTGATCTGCTGCTGAATATCCTTTTCTAAAGCCAGCCTGGGTTTCTGTAAATTTGTCTCTTAGAGTAGCCCAATTTGTCAATCTTGCGTTAAGTATACATGTATAAATTTCATTCAAAGTACAAAGTATAGATATTCCTCTATAATTGTAGGGATTGTCTTTATTACCCCCAGCCACTGGTCAAACTTCTGGATAGCGGTTGTGCCGTCGACTGCAACGAAAAATGTTGGGTCAATAGGTGGTACATATGTTGCAAATACAGGGACATCTTTATTGTTGCCAACTGTACTTTTATCTAGCTTTATACAGACAACTTTGTCTATATCTACAAGAATGTGTTAGCATTTCCTAGCTAGAGTGTTTTCAACAAAACGATCACTCCGCCGGATAATCTTCCAGCCTTTGCTATTCTATGTGCTTATGATATACATAAACATGTCGTAAGCAGAAATCTCGGTTAATGCAGTTAAATTATCGAGAAATGGTTCCACCAGACAATTGAACTCAAAGTTATGTATATAAGCAATCAAATCTGGGTTATCGACATGTGACAGAACACCCTCTATATTTCACGTTAGGAATTTAAAGTTAATACTGAAACTGGAACGTAATACACCTTATGTATGCTGTAGATCGTCGTTCTGGGCCGGGCCGGCTCCCTAGCTCCCATCCATAGGGATGTTATGGTCAGCAGACGACCTGCCGTCGACAGAGGGGGCGTAGGTCTCCAAGTCGATGCCGTGACTCCTGTACAGGTGTAGGCGAAGACGCAGACACAGACGCTGAAGTCCCTTTTCGAGCAGCATAGGCATATCTGAGCGTCCTGTCCGATCTCGAGTTGTCAGAATGACCTGGTCTCGTGATCAGGTTACCATTCTAAAATGCACTTTCAGGGGAATCCCCTATGCTGAAGCGGTAAATTGACACGCGAGGCGCCTTTACGCTCTATCCGTTTCTGCTATTCACCGTGTTCATGTTCAGTGTATGTGTGCACTGACAGGAAAAGCCTGGTGTATCAACACTTGTACGGCTTGCATACATTTGAAGAAACTTTCCGTTGTTTTAAGGTAATCTAATTTGAATACATTGTTTAGTTGTACTGTTAAATTACATACCTGAATATTAGAACAAGATTTTAGATGATTTGTCTAACCTGTTATTAAATTACAAGTATACAAGTATATTATACGGTCGTGTGCATGTGTATGTGTAGACACTGGCCATGGCCTAAGCGGGCTTGTGGACAAATAGGTTTCCCGGACATAAAACAGGTGATTTGTCTATCATAATATTCAGATTTGATTTAACGGATTGGTGATATGCATTAATGTAGTCTAATAAATTGTGTTGCAGTTCCAATATGAGTCTCAGTGGTTGGTGTCTTTCACTACTAGCTACTCTTCATTTTGATATTCATATTTTATCAAACAGTTTTGAGATTTAAATTCATTAAGCATAAACACTTGTGATTATGATCTAATGGAAAAGGCTGCTGCTAAATCTGCTAGCAGGGTTTCAGGACAATGTGAGGTATCCAACCATTACCCTTATTCCTCTTCGACACGACGGTATGGTCTGTGATCAGCTACGGTGCCTCTGTGTGGGGTAATGGTGATGTGACTACAATCAACGCAGCTCATCACAGAGCTGTTAGATTTTCCTCGGCGTGGGTAAATATGCACCGAATATTGCTATTAATAGGGACACAGGGTGGATACTATGTTCATCAATAGTTATGTATAGTTAGACAGAGGTGTCGTTTTAGAAATATGGCTGATCGTTTATGGAAACATACTGATACTAAATTTAGTTTGTTGTCTAAAGCCCAATATTCCAACTATATGGTGGCGTCTGTCAATAATCGAGCCTGGACCAAACACTCCAATGATCAACATCATGAGCATCGATCTACGCAATTAATGATGATAAGCACATTAGCGAAGAATATGAAATCATTGACACACAAGGGATAGAGTACTTGTTGTAGTACTTGTCAGTAAAATTCTTCTTTTTGCGTTTTTATTAACGTTTTCTGAAAGCTTATTTTTCAGGCATATTAGCTTGTTTCCAGCTACCCTATCATTGCAATGCGTACGGGTTTATTGTAGTATCCGCGAAGAGATTTGTCTATTATTCTCCTCTGCTCACCCATTCGTGACACGCGTAAGACGTCGTATGCCTTTCATGCTCTAGGTATCAGTGTCACGATGCACATGTACAATACTATTAATATTTCAGCCAACTCACATAGAGCATACAGAGGAGCCTGAACATATATGCAACAAGCTCACAATTAGATTGTTTTAAGGTAATCTCATTTGAATTCTTCGTTTAGTTGTTCTGTTTCATTATATAATGGTCGTTATCCAATATTGTCAGTCAATATTACAACGGGTTATAAACTTAGAAGTCTGACATATCTTGGCCCGGTACTGAACGTTAATAATCTTACGCAGGCTGTGTACTGAAACAGACTACACTATACATGTCAGTGTTTGAAGGTTTAAAAGCTGTAGACCGCCTCTGTGGTGTAGTGGTTAGAGCGTCCGCCCGGAGAGCGGAAGGTCGTGGGTTCGATCCCCGACCGCGTCATACCAAAAGACGTTGAAATATGGTACTTGTTGGTCCCTGCCTGGCGCTCGGCATTAATGGGTACAACAAGGACTGGTCGGCTTGGAGTCAGTATAATGTGTCTGAGTGGGGTATTCATGCTTCACTGCGGCATGGTATCTCAGTAGGCTAGCACTATAAAACCAGCTTAAGTCTGGGCTAGTACAAGCAGCCGCACATACATATACACACGCATGCACGTCGTCATATGAGCGAAATATTCTCAAGTACGACGTAAAGCCCAATTTCACCTCACCTCACCTTAAAAGCTGTAAGCTGTAAGATGGTGGGGCATGGTTGGAAGAGCAGCAGTTCCAGTTGGTAAAACCCACGAGCACCAGAAAAGGAGGGAGAAGTGAGTGGACAGACGGACGGACGGACGGATACTACATTTGTGGATATGGGTCAGAATACCGCGAGGGACAAAAATAATTTTCCAGAATTTAAATATTACGTCAGTTCTGGTGACCCTCATTTTAAATCTGTATGTTCTGATGTTGAACACGGGAGGCTTCCACACATCCTGAGACTGAATACGAATGTTCTGTATGACGACACGAGTTCTATAGCTGATCCTGTGATCTGTTATAGAACCGTGTGTTTTCGCCTGGGGGGAAGACTATGCACACCATCATACGATGAATGGTGGTTGATCAATTCAAATTCCAACATTACCGTATTTTCAAACTTTAGAGGCAACTGTAACCTGTCGATTGAAATTAGTCGCTAGAATAACTCTCCACGTAAGGAACAGAAAACACATATGGTTCTCGCCTGCTTCCAACAGAGCCATGTCAGATCTGGAAGCTGGTAGAGGTAGTGTTATGTGGGCAGTCTTCTTCAGTGTATCTTTCCTTGCGCTCCTCCACCATGTACATCGATCTGGACGGTCCAACCTTAAACTGACAGGGAATGTCGCGTGCGAGTGCTAATACAACACTTAGAGACAGGTAACTGGAACATTTGGAAAAGTAGAAACTTACATTTTGTCAGCCACAAATAATCCTTTATTATGTTTAAATACATAATGCAGAGTATTTACTAAGTGTAATGTGTGGTTTTATAAATAGATAATACATTCAGACTACTTTTCACTCCCTGCATTAACAGTATTGTAGGCATCAAATGATTACAATTTACTTACTTGTAGTGTCTGCATGCGCTTTGCCTTGAATATGATAATGATTATGATGGACAAATCGTGATTATAATTTCATTACGCATTGCCTTTCATGATTCCTTATTGAAAACCGATGTTTGAAATTCCCACACGAACAATTAATAACGTACTTTTACTCTGACCAATCGATTTCTGTATACCTCACTGTTATAATGATGTTAGATATCTTTGTAATATATCATGGTACATGTGTACTAGTGCGCTACACATGCATGACGTTTTAGCAGTTTTTATATACATGTATAAGTAAAATAGCTTTGGTTTGGCTGTTTAACGCCACATTCAGCAACATCCCCACTATATGGCGGCGGTCCGAAAATAATCGAGTCTAGACCAGACAATTCATAGACCTGCAGCATGAGCATTGATCTACGCAATTGGCATACCATGACATGCGAGCCTGACCACACGATCCCGTTAGCCGCGCGCCCGTTACGAAAAGCATTGCTTGCTGAAGACCAATTCTAACCCGGATCTTCAAGGGTTATGCGTAAAATAACATATTAAAGAAATACATTTAGACATATCTACATGGAATTATTGTGTGATTATATTTGCATTTACTTCATCATATTTGATTTTAATTTCTTGGGCAGGTTTTCGACATTATACTACTATCTGATAAATAGACCTCATACTGCAGTTGTCTTAAAGTACTGTTAAATGAATAAGAAACGGATGAGTACATTAAGATATGCGATTACTCACAATTATGGACATGTTTTATCAGGGACAGAATGAAATAGGTACATTTTTTTGTTCATCACTGTTTAAATTGTTTGGAAATCGCACAATGTCAAATATTTTGAACAGGGTTTGCTCATATATGAGATAAGATAGCTCGTTGGAATATTTAGAGAAACACGAGCCAAATAACTTTTCCCTTTCATGGCCATATGCAGGCATCAGTACTGAGTCACACCATGTGAAATACATGTATATTGGAAATTTTATGGAGATTTACTCATTTCATTTGAACAGGCACTCGCTTTCCTGAAGAGTTTGTCAATAAATTCACAACTTGTTTACTTGGTCAAGTTAAAAAGAAGTTGTTATCCATAAAACGTGTAATGCATTCATACTGATACTAATTGTTTTTGTCTAAATCCCAATATTCCAATTATATGGTGGCGGTCTGTCAATAATCGAGCCTGGACCAGACACTCCAGTGATCAACATCATGAGCATCGATCTACGCAATTAATGATGATAAGCACATTAGCGAAGAATATGAAATCCTTGACAGACAAGGGACAGATTAAGTCCAAGCTTATTTGTATCTGTATCACAGGAGAGTACTTGTTGTAGAACTTATCAGTAAAATTCTTCTCTTTGCGCTTTTATCAGCGTTTTCTGAAAGCTTATTTTTCAGGCACATTAGCTTGTTTCCACCTACCCTATCATTGCAATGCGTATGAGTT